GCAAGTACTTCAAGGGAACTTGTGGTTTTCTGCCAAAGCTGTGTTTGGAGGACTGAGGTAGAAAAAGCGCCAGCCGGGAAGAACTCTGCTAAAATGTCTGACACCACACCCACACAAGGCCAGGCACCTCTCTGAAGAGAGCCCTTTTACTTTGTTACAGAAATGGAGTTCCTGTACAACAGTTTCTTTACACTGTCAAAAAAACATTAATCAATTCAGATTAACATGATAAAGTAGACTGGCAAGGAAAAATTCCCTACTTTTCTAAAAATATAAAAATGTTGGATGATAACTTAAAAAATTGAAAAAAATGATATTTTGCCAAGCTTGAAAGTAAGAAAGGGGAATTCCCAGATTCTAGAAAAAGGAAAATAGAAAAACAGAGCATTAGAAGAAGATGAAGACAAGAATATACTGAAGCCCTTTGGCTTATGGGGGTACTGGGGGTGGATACCTGCTGTAAGACTGAAAGATTAAAATTTATTTACATGTAACAATATGGATGAATCTCAAGAATAATAAGCATAATAACTATGCTAAGTAAAAAAAGCAATACCAAAAAGAATATGTACTGATGAATCCATTTATAGAAAACTTCAGAAAATGCAAACTAATTTATAATTACAGCAGATCAGTGGTTGCCAGAGGATGTAGGAGATGAGGCAGAACAGACAAAGGGGTACAAGAACCCTTTTTGGGATGATGGATATGTTCTCTATTTTGGCCAGTGATGGTTTTACAGGAGTGTACATGTTAAAACTTGTTAAATTTTACATTTCAAATATGTATGGTTTGTTTCATGCCAATTATACCTAATGAATCTGTTAAAAAGAAATGAATAAAAAATCCAAAAGAAGCCCAACATTGTCTCCTTCCATTTAAATTTATGCAATTTATTTGTTAAATGATATTGGTGGTCTGTCCTGTAGAATATCCTACATTCTGGGTTTTATTGATTGCAATAGAAGAATCCTTATTTTTTAGAGCTATATACTAAAGTATTTGTGGGTGAAGCTCAAGTGGGGGCAGAGTAGGGAAGAGGTGATTACATTGATATTTTGCAAACTTGGTGACTGGCACAAGAGGGCTCATTATATTCTACTTTTTATGTTCTTAAACAAATTTTAATAATAAAAAATTAAAATAAGTCCTGGATCCTACCCCAGAGGTACTGAATTTCTTAGGGGTTGGATAAAGAGGAACAGATTTTAAAGTAATCTCCAAAACTGATTTTGTTGTACACTATACATAGTAGATCACTGTCCCAGATCAAAGAAAAGAACTCTGATGGTGGGGTAAATTTCAGACACTACAGGGATAGAAAACAGTTTTTGGTAGGTATCTTTTTTATTTCTTATCAAATTATAAAACAATAGGCTAGCTATTCTTCTTTAAAATACATTTCTGGCTTTGCCTACCTCTTCCATAAGGAAGTTCCCTGATCCTCATATACGTACTGTTTGAGTGTATTCTTATACAGTCTTAAAAGGGTAATAGTAATATAGGTTACGTTTATCATACAGGTTTAGTATGATTTGTCTAGATTACTCTGAATTTTAGCCCAACATAAAGTGAATTAGAAAGGTTTTTTTCTATGTTTCTAGCCTCATTTCTATTACATTTTTTGCTCCCTCTGCGATGTCCCCCTTCCTCAGGAAGTCAGTGTCATGTTTTCCAGTCTTTCCACTTCCAAACAATGACTCAGAAACCATGATAAACTCATAAAAGATAACAGATTACAGTCATTAAGTGCTCTTCCCAGTGAAATTGGTTTAAATAAGGGACAGAGTTAAATCAAAGTTAAAAAAAATGTATAGTGATGATTGCATTAAATAACCTAGTCAGGGAAGGATTTGGGGGGAGTGGTCAAGTTCCTTTAAGACCCTCTGAAATCTTACCAAACAGGTTGTTAGCATCCCATTGGATATATATCTTTGGAAGAGTCAGATAATACAATGGTAGCTCTTTCTTCTGTAACATGCATGGAAAATATAGCTTTGGTTGCAAATAATAAAAAGCCAAACTCAAACTTTCTTAAACTGCTAAGAAAATTTATTGATTCAGAAAAGTTACTAAACACAGAGGAAGGCTTCAAACTGGGTTTGAGTTCTTCCATTATGTGTCAGTGTCACTCTCAGGCTGGCTTCCCTCATGTTAGCAAAGTGCCTGCAGTAACTATAGGACTCACATTCACCCCTCAGACCAGCCAGAGTGGGAAAGAGAACACTCTTCATTTCCTAACACAGAATCTGGCCTTCCATATGATTGGACCAATTTAGAGCTGTGCCAGTGCCTAACCATGAATACTGAGTCAGTTGAGGATGAGAAAAGGCTGATTATGGTAAAATAGGGCCCACACCTGGAGCTGAAGATGGGCCTAACTCAACTCATTTCCTTGGCTGTATACAATTGCAGAGAGGTGAAAATGGATGGTAGGGAATCAACCAGTAATGCCTACTGTAAAAGCAATATGATATTCTGTTAAATACCACAATTTAAACTCTCATTATTGTCCAATGTCTAACTTGTTTACAGTTTTTTTATGTTAAGCTATTATATATTGAGAGTTGCAGACCTAAGCGAGGGAAACAAAATAGTGTAGGAAATGATATGGAATGCAGAGACAAAACAGAACGTATGTCCTAAAAATGATTGTTGTTGCCTGAGAATGTAAGTTCATTGTTATCAGATCTTCTACTTTTTATTGATTTTAACTTTTTCCATTTTTAAAAGAGAAGCCCAAAATGCATGTGAAATCTGCTTTTTTAACTTTGGCTTTTGTTTTGTTTTTAAACAAGTATCATGCAGGACAAATAAGTTTGTGTGTTAGATCTGAAACTGGTCCACCAGTTTTTGTCATATTATGAATCATGCTGGAATATTCTGTAACACCTTCTCCCAAAGTGAGACCTTTAGTTCACGGATCAGAGCTCCTAGGACACACTTAATGCAAAGGAAGCCTCAGTGGAGGGAGAAGTGAGCAGCATTATGAGAAGCTTTGTTATGAATTCATTGACATAAGCTTAGAATTGTTTTCCCTGTGATGAGGATGTATCTGTATCAAATCACATTCACTGTCTTATATTTAAATTTTCTCATGCCTTGTCTCTTATCTAGGGTCTACTTTGAAGAAAAAGTTCAGGTTTACAGAACGATCCCTGGTGTGATATGTGGCCAAGGGACAAGGTTTTTATTTTCTTTCTAGCAAGCTGGTACATGAATTGATCTTACCACATGCTTCACTTAAATAGGAGAACTAACTGGAAACAGTCAATGGTGGTCACTATTATTATTTTTAAAGGCATAAGGAACTGAATTTGGGGAACACTAAATTTGTTTTGGAGTCTCCATCATAAAAAAATTTTATGCTTTTCTTTTTTTGGCTAAATTTCTTATTGAATGAAGATAATTATTTCAGCATTGTCCTTTTTGTCGAAAAGCTCTGCTCTTGTTAGAAAATATCAGAAGACAGAAATTGTGGCTTTTCCATTTGTTGATTTCCTGATGGTGCCCAGTGTATCTTTATTGTACTTTATTTAGTAGAGCCTTAACACCTACTTGTTGAATATTTATAAATAGAACATGTATGTTGTTGGGTGTGGTGACTGACCCATGCATGTAATTCTAGCAGTTTGGAAGGTGGAGACAGAAGGATCACAAGTTAGAGGTTAGCCTGTGCAATTTAGTGAGACCCTTCTTAGAAATAAATTAAAAATAAAATAAAATGGTTTGGGGGTGTAGTTCGGTGGTAGAGTGCCTCTGGTTTCAATTCTTAGTACTTGAAGAAAACTGAAACTAAATTTGTCTCAGGAAGTCAACAGATAATTTGCATTAATTTTTAATTTTAATCCTAACTTTATTAAGTATCACTGTTAGCTTTTCATTGCTGTGACCAAAATACCTGACAAGAACAACTTAGAGGAGGAAAAGTTTATTTTGGGGTCACAGTTTCAGAGGTTCAGTCATGTCAGCCAACTCTATGGCTTTGGGCTTGAGAGAGTGTAAGAGTGAGAAAGAGAGAAAGAGAGAAAGGAAGATACAGTCTTAGGCCTCCAGTGACCTACTTCTTTTAGCCACACCCTATCTGCCTATAGTTACCACACAGCAGTCCATTTATTAATCCATCAAATAGATTAATCCACTCATGAGGCTACAGTTCTCATAATCTAATCTTTTGCTTCTGAACATTTCTACATTGCCTAACACGTGAGCTCTTTGGAGGACATTTTTAGATCCAAACCACAACAATCACCAACACTACCAGCATTCATTGAGTTAGGCTCAAGGCTAGGAAGGCTCTGGGAATACAGAGCTTAATAAAATGCCCTCTGGGAAGGAGCCCAGCAGACAGGGAAAACACAAAATAGTTGGAACACTCTTGATATGTCCCAGCACCTTCAGAAATAAACCTTAGGAAAACAGGTAAAAAGAAACTTGGGATTAGATGGCCCTTGGACAAATGTCACATTTCTTAGTAGCTTCTGGATCTGTATGGAGAAACAAGGGCTTGGGAATTGAAGTGGGAGAGAATGGGGCATTTTAAACTAAAGAAGTCATCCTAGAGCTGAAATCACTGGACACAATTATTCCTTGCTGCACTATATTCACTTTTATTTACAGTTCTCATAATCCAATCCTTTCGCCTCTGAACATTTCTACATTGCCTAACACATGAGCTCTTTGGAGTCACATTTATTGAATACTTCCTATCAGGCGTGATCCATCGTGGAAAATACTCAAGGGTTCTTCTGGGGGACAAAATATTGTACAGATCAACCTAAATAAGGTTGACTATATTAGTGTCACAAATATAGTCAAAGAGGTTCAGAAAATGTACAGGTCATTTTTGGCTGTTCAATCTAGGAAGAATATTGACAGTTTAAGGATCAATCGATACATCTATGGCGAAAAAGAGTTGGCTTGTTTCTCTCTCTCTCTCTCTTTTTTTTGTACTCCAAGACCTATTACCCCAAAGGACGAAAAGGTGCAATCGAGGGTACCTTGTGTCCATTCATATACCGGCACTACGGTGCTCAGCGCGTTCCCGTTCATTCGCGCAGGTTACTTCCCTCTTCAATCTCTGAGTCTCTCAGAACCAACCAACAGGGGGGCGCTTCAGGTGCACACAAACCTTGAAAGGAGGACGGAAAAGAGTGACTGGTGCAAAGTTTGTGAGGTGACTTCTCTGAAGATTAGTGGGAACTCTGTAAACCAGGCTTATGAGCAAGAACATAATCTTCTCCAGAAGGATTAATCTTAGAGTTCAGTCCACCTTGCTCGGGCCGTTCGCAGGCACGGATCCTCTCCCGGGTTCCACCAGCCTCGAGCACTCACGCGCCTTTGCGCGTCCCGGCTCCTTCAACTCCGGTACTGTCAGGTTGCGGCTCCACGGGCCCGGGCTCAAATGCAGCCCAGCCGGGACGTGCCTGCGCCCGCGCCGCCGGCGCCGGGCAGAGAAGGCGCCTCCGCGGCCGGGAGCGCGCACGCCGCGCCGAAGGGCCGGGTGCGCGCGCGCCCGCCCCGCCTCGCCTCCGCCCGCCCCCTCCCTCGCCTCTTCCTGCCCAGCCGGCCCTTTCCCCTCCCCTCGGCGCTCCCCCGCCCCGCTCCCTCCGCCCTCCCAGGGCTCCGGCGGCGGCTGAGTGAACGGGACCGCCCGGCCGCAGAGCGCGGGGTGGCGGGTGGGACGCGGGTGCCTGGTGGAGTTGTTCCGGCAGCGCCGGCGGAGACGTGAGGAGGTGAGGCGCGGGCGGCTTCCCGGGGCCCGAGGGCGCCCGGCCCCGAGCGGCAGGCCGGGTCGGCCTGCTGGGGGCGTCGGCGTGCGCGCCGCGCTCAGAGGGGTCGCGGTGGGGCTGGGCCGGGGCGGGAGTGCTGGGGGGACGTGGGCGGGGGCAGAGGGCGGGCTCGGGTGTCGGCCGCCTCTAGGGCGCAGCGGCTCTCCGGGGCGGCCGGTCCTCGCGGCCCGGGCGGGCGGGGTGGGCGCCCCTCACCTGGGGGCGGGGTGGTGGCTTGGGCTGTCGGAGCCTCCAGCTGCGCGCTCCTGACACTGCCGCTGCCTGCGCTGCCGGTGTCTGCGCTGCGGCCGCTGTTGGGGTCGCAGTCCCAGCCTCCCCGCGTCCTAGGGGCGTGTGGTTAGGGCATTACCCACACTCAGGTTTCTGTTAGTGACCGCCTCTCTAGCTCGCTTTTCCCCTTCCTCGGCTGAGCACTTTGCCGAGCTCCTGTTAATGCTTGTGGTTTTTCAGTCTGGGATGGGCTGCGTCTTGGGCAGATCTCTACCTGCTAGGAATGCCCCGCTTCGAAGTTGACCGCCTGGACAACAAACACCCCAGCACTCCCTCGCCCAGGTCTTGAATGCTCACTATTTTGATAACTGAGTCAAAGTTTTTGAGACTAGGCTAGTACTTGCTTTGGTCGCCAACGGTGCAGGGCTGGGCCGTGCGTCAGCATGTGGAAAGGGGCCACTGGCCAGTGGGAGGTGGCAGGGAGCAAGGGGGCTGAACAGACAGTTTGTTTCGGATCTCAAGGCAGTGTGTTCAGGTGCTTTTGAATTCTTTCACCTTGAGCTTCTCAGTTATCTTAGAAAATGTATCAGTATTTAGGCGGTCACTTGCAGAATTGATGGCTTCATGCAAATGAACTAAAATGTCTACTTCATTTACACTAATGGTAAGGAGAACTTTCGCTTGCTTGACAGATTTCAGTGCTTTTTGAAATCTGATTTCAAGGCCTATATTTTTGGCACTGGTAGGGTTAGGGATATTAAATACATTTGAATTTTCTTTTGCATAAACGGAGGCAAATAGTTGCTTGTTACAATTCATAAAACATAATTTCATGGAAACCTTTTGACTTTTCTCATAGTAGTGTTTACATTTTTTGTCTCCTGCACTTTTGGAGAAAATCCAGTAGTTTTGACATCAGAAGATATGGACATGAAGTTTGTAGTCAAATTGGAAGTGGTTTTGGTGGAAAATATTGGTTCACAAGCTGCTAGCAAGCACAGAAAAACTGGCCTGTGATTCATTATCTCTGTAGAGCTTTCCATATGAAACTTAGGAGATTGCAAAGGAGAAAGACTAGATGAATTTAATGTATACACTATCAAATTGTATTAAATATTTACCTGTTTAGGAAGTTAGCCAAGACTTTGAATCAGACTGGTGTCTCTACTAAATCAGTTCAAGATGTGCTCTGATATTTTGTATTATTAAGTCATCTGGAGAGAAATAGATGTAATAGTGCAGGGCTTATTCTTGAATATCTTGAATATTATATAGCATACATTGTACTCTAGAAAGCTTGAAACAAGGTAGTGGGTCCCAGTACTATTGTGGCAAATAGTAAACATTACAGACTAACCTAAAAAGTTATGACAATAAATGTATGAAGTTTATTATTATTTTTTTTGACCTGAGTTTTTTGATGGGCATTTCTGTATATTATAGTTATGATATAATTTTTGTTTCTTTGATAATTGTTTCATGATTTAGATCCTTTTCACGCTAGAGGTAATTTTTTTTGAATGACAGAATTTTACTGGGTATGTAAAACAGGAGTTTTCATGTATATCAGTTCACCAGTTCTGAATTTATGACTTCTAAAAACTTGTACTTAAGCCTTTTTTTTTCTTTGCCTTAACCCAGTCTTGAAATTGCTTAGTTACTATGTATTTATTTAAACGCTCAGATGATATGGCATTGAAGCTGAAAGTTCTAGGGCTGGGGATGTAGCTCAGTGGTAGAATGTGTGAGGCCCTGCGTTTAATCCCCAGCACCGCTATACAAAACAAAATAAAAAAGCTGAATGTCCTTTTATTCATTTTTTGGGAGTAGACAGAAGAAGAGATTCTGTTATGCCAAGTAAAAATATTATGTGTGGGAGATAGCCAAACTTGTAGATATTGACTTTGAAGAGAGAGTAGCTAAAGTAGCAAAAATTTCTTGTATTGAGGATGTAGAACTGGCACTGCTTTCTAGCCTACCATTCTCTTCAAATGGTATGGGGATGATTTTAGTGGAATTAATTAGTGGATGTTTGGAGATTGAAGTTGATACTGTAGCCTGTGTGATTCCCAGGCACACAGCTTTTTTTTTCTCATGTCTCACAAGTTTTAATGAATTGCTACAAGTTTCTAACTCTCTAGGGCCTGAGGATCATCAGTAGCCCACGGCTATTCCCTTGCTGGTACTTCAAAGAAATCTCAGGGATTTCTTAAGGAGATAAGCCTTCTAAGCATTTTCCATGACAGTGAAAGCAAAGGACAGATTTGAGCCTGACAGTTTTTAAATAAAATCTTAAAATTGAGATATGGAGAAAGACATTGCTTGAATTGATGCCTGGCTTTTCCTAATGGGGAATAATTTTGACTTTATAGTTCTTATTTGAATTGGACATAAGTATGTGGGCATCAGTGGGCCCTATAATAAGGAAGATTTATTGGAATTAAACAGAACTTGTATCTCAACATTCTCTTTTTTTATACTTCATTACTTTTTATATTGCTCTTATTCAACAGACAGAATGCCATAATTGAGCATAGCAAGTTTATGCTCATACTGAATCTTTTGTGGAATCTTTTGGTAAATTTTTGGGATTTTTCCTAGGAAACTTCTGGGCATATATTCAGTTGATTTAGGATTAGATTTGGGTTAAGGTTATTAGTGTACTTGAAATTCTGAGCATTCTTGTTTTCTAAAGAGCCTTAAAAATGGAAAAGACATTTCTTTATAAATACTCATGAAAAATATGGTTATAGATTATGTTGTGATAGACATAGTACAGCCAAAAATATATTCAGGAAACTTCTTTGCTCCTTACCTGGTTCAGTAAGCTTCAATAAGAATTAAGAAAATAAAGTATTTTTTTTCAACAAAAGCTTGATTTTCCCAGAATAGCAAGTCTAACAAGTGTTTGCAGAGTTATTCTCCTTTTTTGCCTATTCTAAATTCAACAAATACTGTGTGGCTCTAGTGCATGGCAAAAACTTAATTCTGATAGGAGAGACTTAGTAATAAAGGTTCTATTGAAGAATGAAAGCTTGTCCCTGGGACTTTGGGAAACATCAGGTATGGAAAATTTACTTTTTTTTTTTTTTTTTTTAGCAGCACTGGTTTTCTCTATTCCAGGTTTCTCAGTTGGACCTAGCATGAACACAAATACCAGAATCACTTGGATGTTTGCTTTTATAGTACAGATTTTATTTTCCTTTCCCCCCAGCCCCTTCCTAAGTGAGCTATTGCTATAGTAGGAGTGTGTTGTGTCCTTTAGGTATATGGGGCTGAACAAAGTCTGAGAACTTGATCTTGGCTGATGATTTCTAAACCAAATTCTTACTCCCTGTCATTTATTTGCTTGCTGGTGATATCAAGAGACATCTGTTAGTCTCATTTTTGAAGGAAAATATCAACTGTGGTGAAGAGATAGTTAGTTGTGTAACCAAGAATAAGAATTATTGAATTATAGTACAGGTGGAGGAGTTTAGGAGATTGTTTAGTTGGGCATTGTTAAACTATTTTGACTGTAACACACAGTAAGAACTACATTTTATATTGTGTTTCAGCATATGAGTTTGTGCGTGCACAGACGAATTTGAAAGAAAAGTTTGTTGAAATACTCCTTATCTTTTCAGGGCTGTATTGAGTTGGCTCACACTGGCTTGCAAGGGCAGTTATGCCTATCTCTTCCCACCTAGCTCCAAATTCAGTGATATGTTGTAGCTTGAAACTGGTCAGGGTGGGAGTATTTTACATCAGGGAAACTAGCAAATAGTATAGCTCTGACCCCCTACTTCCCCACATATTTGTTAAACATTTATAGCACATAACTGCCTGTATTTTGATATATTCTTTTTATTTCGTTTATAAAAAATACCACCAAATTAATTTTACACCCAACTAATGTGTAACAGTCTAGTTAAACAAACAAACTGGATCAGCCCACCCTTCTAACTTTGCAAATGAACATACTGACACCTGAAGTCCAAGGTCATATAACTAGTTATTAGCAAAGCTAGGGTTCCGGACTCCTGGAGTTGTTTCTAGCAAGTTTCTCTCCTTTTCTAACTCAAGCCATTCTTTTAATTCAACTGGAGTGCCTAGTATGTGCAAGACATTTTGTTAAGCAGTTTCAATAGAGATGAATAAGGTGTGGACCTTGCACCATGACCTTTATGCTTATGTGGGGGATTAAATATGGAAACAAAGATAATATGAGGCAGAAAGTTACTGGTGGTAAAGAGATAAAGATAAAGTACTGGAAGAATTTAGAGAGGAGTGAGTGATTACTGTTCATTGTAAGAATATGGAAGACTTGACATTTTTAACTATGTTTTGAAGAATGGGTAGGATTTGGACATGTGGAAATAGGACAACTAGTATGGAAAGAAAGGCCTTTCTAGGCCGGGGGCTGAGGAGATCAAAGCAGTAAGGTCATGGACAGTGAGTAGTGAAAGAGCTAGGCAAGGAGTCAGCTCCAGATGGTTAAGAGCCTAGAATGCCAATTTTCCTTTCTACTGTTAACTTCTCTTTCGTTTTTGTATCTGGAGTCATTTAGTACTTTTTAACATTAAACAGGCTTTATATGCTGTGCTTCTAATTAAAATATGACCTAGAAAGCACTTAAGCATCCTTAGAGTAAAAGTTCAAGGGAAAAATTATTAGAGAAATGTAAGAGAAACAACCTTCAGTTTACCAATCCAAAAAGTGTTGGAAAGGGATTTTTAAAAATTATTTTATTT